TGTGACGGACCCCCGTACTCAGGATGAGTATGTCCGCCGCTGTCTTCTTCCTTGCTGAGGAGATATTGGAACCCGCTGATCTGTAGCTCCCAGTTTCCCCAGTCACTAGCCAAGGCTTGAGTGTAGGTGACACCCCCCAGTCACTAGCCAAGGCTGGAGTGTAGGTGAAACAAACTCTGATTTATTGAACAACTGCACAAACTTATATACAGCAAGTGATCAGATCAGAATATAATCCCATCACATCCCCCCTCCCCCTCCCAGACCATCGGTCTGCTCAACACCACAGGTGTCCACCTGCTAACGAGCTCCAGACAGCCATAGCTGGAGCCTGGCCAGAATGTCATTGTTCTGAGCTCCCTCAGAGAACAATGGGAGATAACGAGGGGGAGGGGAGGGGAGGGGTGCTGATAGTCTTTCCATAACCAGGTCACACAGCATAACGCACTCACACATAACCCAACACCAATACACATTTACCTCATAAACTCATCACCGTGTCGTCACAGGGATGTATAGTGATGTATGGGGATGCGTAGGGATGTATATACATGTATAGGGATGCACAGGGATGTATATACATGTATTGGGATGTATAGGGATGCGTAGGGATGTATATACATGTATAGGGATGCGTAGGGATGTATAGGGATGCGTAGGGATGTATATACATGTATAGGGATGTGTAGGGATGTATATACATGTATTGGGATGTATAGGGATGCGTAGGGATGTATATACATGTATAGGGATGTGTAGGGATGTATATACATGTATAGGGATGCGTAGGGATGTATAGGGATGTGTAGGGATGCGTAGGGATGTATATACATGTATAGGGATGCGTAGGGATGTATAGGGATGCGTAGGGATGCATAGGGAAGTCATATTGATGATCCATATTGCTATTCTCCCCTCTGTAGGGCTACAACAAGAGCATTTCGCAGGGCGAGGTGATCGTGCGTTTTGCCTTCCAAGCTGCAATAACCGTATTATGCATCGCCTGCCCCTGCTCCCTGGGCCTGGCAACCCCAACAGCCGTCATGGTTGGGACAGGAGTTGGCGCTCAGAACGGAATCCTGATAAAGGGCGGCGAGCCGCTGGAAATGGCGCACAGAGTGAGTTCCGTGTTTCTGAGTCGCTGACCACCAGCCCCGTGTGGAGGTGACATGTGACATGAAGTAGACGTGATCCCCGTCACTGTCTTGTATGATCTTTAACATGTTCATTTCAGAAGTCATTTTCTCATTATAATGCTCCCTGGTGATCCCGCCATTGGGGTCCCCGCTGTCCTCCTGCGTTGTCACTCATGGAGACTACAAGGGGCTGTGTCAGCACTCATTACACAGACACGGCCCACTGTTGTCACCCTCAGGAAGCCCGCCCTGAGAAATGGCGTGCAGCCATCACTGGAGTGCATGTAGACAGGAAGTAGCTGGAAAGAGGCTGCGGGAGATCAGCAGCACTGAGATGGAATGAAGGATAAAAGCAGAAATAACAGTTGTGTATATACACAGGACACAGTGCGTCCATTATGCTTGTTCCATGGTGGAGGTTCAGGAAGCAGCCAGGCAACTAGTATTTCCTTCTAGTCCATTGAGGGACACAGGAAGTCTTTCACATTCCGGTTATAATGTCGCCTTCAGGAGGATTGGACAGCCCAGGAGAGCCGATCCTACTCCCGGCAAGGCTCAGGTGTGGCCTTCTTTATAGGTCTAGGATGGGCAGATATTGAAGCGGGATGTTCCTTAGGGCTTCGGCCTAGGGGGGGGAGGGGGGGGAGCTTGTCCCTCAGCTTTATGTGGACTCCATTCCTAATTTGTGGTGAGGAGATCTGCCTCCTATCTCCTGCCTAATACTTGTATGGGGAGTTCCCATGTACCTTTCCCTGTATGGCCATGCTGTCTCTGCGGGATTCAACCTTGGTCCTCCTAGGTGTGCTCAGGGACCACCATTCCACTCCTTGGAGGTCACTCTGCCCCAGGTTATTCCTGGTAGTCCCTGGTGAGGTGAGTGTCTGCCCCAGGTTAGTCCCTGGTGAGGTGAGTGTCTGCCCCAGGTTATCCCTGGTAGTCCCTGGTGAGGTGAGTGTCTGCCCTGATAACCATTTGGTTCGTGGACCCTTTTTTCTCTTGAACGTTATGGGATTCGGTGATTTCAGGCTGAGCACCTCCTCTACCTCGGCGTGGTTCTGGTGTTCCCTCTACCAGAACATTCTTCTCAGGTCCCAGCTCTGTGAGAGGAACCCCTTCTCCGTGTTGACCACAGTTTAGGCTTTGAGTCCTTTCCCTGTAGAGGAGTTATCACGTCACCCTTCTAGTTGGATCAGGTGGAGCAGCTCCCAAGGTCTAAGGTCCGGTGTCTTCCCTCCCAAGGTCTATGGTCTAAGGTCCGGTGTCTTCTCTCCCATGGTCTATGGTCTAAGGTCCAGTGTCTTCCCTCCCAAGGTCTAAGGTCCGGTGTCTTCCCTCCCAAGCTCTATGGTCCGGTGTCTTCCCTCCCAACGTCTTTGGTCTATGGTCCGGTGTCTTCCCTCCCAAGGTCTATGGTCCGGTGTCTTACCTCCCAAGGTCTATGGTCTATGGTCCGGTGTCTTCCCTCCCAAGGTCTATGGTCTATGGTCCGGTCTCTTCCCTCCCAACGTCTATGGTTTATGGTTCGGTGTCTTCCCTCCCAAGGTCTATGGTCTAAGGTTCGGTGTCTTCTCTCCCCAGGTCTATGGTCTATGGTCCGGTGTCTTCTCTCCCAAGGTCTATGGTCTATGTTCGGTGTCTTCTCTCCCAAGGTCTATGTTCGGTGTCTTCTCTCCCAAGGTCTATGTTCGGTGTCTTCCCTTCCAAGGTCTATGGTCTAAGGTTCGGTGTCTTCCCTCCCAAGGTCTATGGTCTAAGGTCCGGTGTCTTCCCTCCCAACGTCTATGGTTTATGGTCTGGTGTCTTCCCTCCCAATGTCTATGTTCGGTGTCTTCTCTCCCAAGGTCTATGTTCGGTGTCTTCCCTCCCAACGTCTATGGTCTAAGGTTCGGTGTCTTCCCTCCCATGGTCTATGGTCCGGTGTCTTCCCTCCCATGGTCTATGGTCCGGTGTCTTCCCTCCCAAGGTCTATGGTCTATGGTCCGGTCTCTTCCCTCCCAACGTCTATGGTTTATGGTTCGGTGTCTTCCCTCCCAAGGTCTATGGTCTAAGGTTCGGTGTCTTCTCTCCCCAGGTCTATGGTCTATGGTCCGGTGTCTTCTCTCCCAAGGTCTATGGTCTATGTTCGGTGTCTTCTCTCCCAAGGTCTATGTTCGGTGTCTTCCCTTCCAAGGTCTATGGTCTAAGGTTCGGTGTCTTCCCTCCCAAGGTCTATGGTCCGGTGTCTTCCCTCCCAAGGTCTATGGTCCGGTGTCTTCCCTCCCAAGGTCTATGTTCGGTGTCTTCCCTCCCAAGGTCTATGTTCGGTGTCTTCCCTCCCAAGGTCTATGTTCGGTGAAGGTGAGAGACTTCCTGTGTCCCTTGCTTGGCAGTGTGTCCAATGCTTCTGTAGGCGGCACTATAACCTGAAGGTGAGAGACTTCCTGTGTCCCTTGTGTGGCAGTGTGTCCAATCCTTCTGTAGGCGGCACTATAACCTGAAGGTGAGAGACTTCCTGTGTCCCTTGTGTGGCAGTGTGTCCAATCCTTCTGTAGGCGGCACTATAACCTGAAGGTGAGAGACTTCCTGTGTCCCTTGTGTGGCAGTGTGTCCAATCCTTCTGTAGGCGGCACTATAACCTGAAGGTGAGAGACTTCCTGTGTCCCTTGTGTGGCAGTGTGTCCAATCCTTCTGTAGGCGGCACTATAACCTGAAGGTGAGAGACTTCCTGTGTCCCTTGTGTGGCAGTGTGTCCAATCCTTCTGTAGGCGGCACTATAACCTGAAGGTGAGAGACTTCCTGTGTCCCTTGTGTGGCAGTGTGTCCAATCCTTCTGTAGGCGGCACTATAACCTGAAGGTGAGAGACTTCCTGTGTCCCTTGTGTGGCAGTGTGTCCAATCCTTCTGTAGGCGGCACTATAACCTGAAGGTGAGAGACTTCCTGTGTCCCTTGTGTGGCAGTGTGTCCAATCCTTCTGTAGGCGGCACTATAACCTGAAGGTGAGAGACTTCCTGTGTCCCTTGTGTGGCAGTGTGTCCAATCCTTCTGTAGGCGGCACTATAACCTGAAGGTGAGAGACTTCCTGTGTCCCTTGTGTGGCAGTGTGTCCAATCCTTCTGTAGGCGGCACTATAACCTGAAGGTGAGAGACTTCCTGTGTCCCTTGTGTGGCAGTGTGTCCAATCCTTCTGTAGGCGGCACTATAACCTGAAGGTGAGAGACTTCCTGTGTCCCTTGTGTGGCAGTGTGTCCAATCCTTCTGTAGGCGGCACTATAACCTGAAGGTGAGAGACTTCCTGTGTCCCTTGTGTGGCAGTGTGTCCAATCCTTCTGTAGGCGGCACTATAACCTGAAGGTGAGAGACTTCCTGTGTCCCTTGTGTGGCAGTGTGTCCAATCCTTCTGTAGGCGGCACTATAACCTGAAGGTGAGAGACTTCCTGTGTCCCTTGTGTGGCAGTGTGTCCAATCCTTCTGTAGGCGGCACTATAACCTGAAGGTGAGAGACTTCCTGTGTCCCTTGTGTGGCAGTGTGTCCAATCCTTCTGTAGGCGGCACTATAACCTGAAGGTGAGAGACTTCCTGTGTCCCTTGTGTGGCAGTGTGTCCAATCCTTCTGTAGGCGGCACTATAACCTGAAGGTGAGAGACTTCCTGTGTCCCTTGTGTGGCAGTGTGTCCAATCCTTCTGTAGGCGGCACTATAACCTGAAGGTGAGAGACTTCCTGTGTCCCTTGTGTGGCAGTGTGTCCAATCCTTCTGTAGGCGGCACTATAACCTGAAGGTGAGAGACTTCCTGTGTCCCTTGTGTGGCAGTGTGTCCAATCCTTCTGTAGGCGGCACTATAACCTGAAGGTGAGAGACTTCCTGTGTCCCTTGTGTGGCAGTGTGTCCAATCCTTCTGTAGGCGGCACTATAACCTGAAGGTGAGAGACTTCCTGTGTCCCTTGTGTGGCAGTGTGTCCAATCCTTCTGTAGGCGGCACTATAACCTGAAGGTGAGAGACTTCCTGTGTCCCTTGTGTGGCAGTGTGTCCAATCCTTCTGTAGGCGGCACTATAACCTGAAGGTGAGAGACTTCCTGTGTCCCTTGTGTGGCAGTGTGTCCAATCCTTCTGTAGGCGGCACTATAACCTGAAGGTGAGAGACTTCCTGTGTCCCTTGTGTGGCAGTGTGTCCAATCCTTCTGTAGGCGGCACTATAACCTGAAGGTGAGAGACTTCCTGTGTCCCTTGTGTGGCAGTGTGTCCAATCCTTCTGTAGGCGGCACTATAACCTGAAGGTGAGAGACTTCCTGTGTCCCTTGTGTGGCAGTGTGTCCAATCCTTCTGTAGGCGGCACTATAACCTGAAGGTGAGAGACTTCCTGTGTCCCTTGTGTGGCAGTGTGTCCAATCCTTCTGTAGGCGGCACTATAACCTGAAGGTGAGAGACTTCCTGTGTCCCTTGTGTGGCAGTGTGTCCAATCCTTCTGTAGGCGGCACTATAACCTGAAGGTGAGAGACTTCCTGTGTCCCTTGTGTGGCAGTGTGTCCAATCCTTCTGTAGGCGGCACTATAACCTGAAGGTGAGAGACTTCCTGTGTCCCTTGTGTGGCAGTGTGTCCAATCCTTCTGTAGGCGGCACTATAACCTGAAGGTGAGAGACTTCCTGTGTCCCTTGTTTGGCAGTGTGTCCAATGCTTCTGTATGCGGCACTATAACCTGCAGGTGAGAGACTTCCTGTGTTCAGGTTTCCGGCTTATTACGGGTCAGAACGTTTTCTTAGATCTAATCTTGAACCTCATCTGTCTGCATGGAGTCTTTGGTCATGTGGTGCATGGAGGAATAACACGTATCATGTATGTTCAGGTGAAGACTGTGGTGTTCGATAAGACCGGGACCATCACTCACGGATCTCCAGTCGTTATGCAGGTGAAGGTGTTAGTAGAAAGCAACAGGATGCCAACGAACAAGCTGCTGGCCATTGTGGGAACTGCAGAGAGCAACAGCGAGCATCCTCTTGGCTCAGCCGTCACCAAGTACTGTAAAGAGGTAACCATGCCGCCATTTCTCTACACATGTAGCAGTGGGCTGATAGGAGGGGAGAGCAGAGTGACCAGGTGGATCATTTCATCAGTCTGCTCCTTCTCTTTTCACTGTCCAATCACAGGCTGGGGGGTGGAGAGAGGAGTCCACTATATTCCTCCTACAGTCCATACCTGTAGCATAGAGAGTGGCGTCACCCCCTGGCTGAGCTGTGTAAATCTCAGGACTGGATAGGTAACCACACAGGTAGAACGTCTCCCATATATCTGTACTCAGCCACCTCCCCGGAGTTCAGCTTTACACATAAAGATCCGTCTATTCCTGTGATAAGAAATAATTCCCGTGGATGGGAGGGGGGGGGGGGGGCGGGGGGGGGGGGGGGGCGGCCCCTTCTTCGGGACGCAGAAGCGATCTGGCGACAGGTAAGTCGCCAGGATCGCTTCTGTTGTAAAGCCTACAGGAAGTGAGGGATCACCTCACCCTTATAGAAGTGCCCCCATTGAGGGGATTTCCCTCCAATTTCTGTTCTGGTGACACTACAGAAAGTGAGGACACTACAGGAAGTGAGGGTACTACAGGAAGTGAGGGTACTACAGGAAGTGAGTGTACTACAGGAAGTGATGACACTACAGGAAGTGATGACACTACAGGAAGTGAGGGTACTACAGGAAGTGAGGGTACTACAGAAAGTGAGGGTACTACAGAAAGTGAGGGTACTACAGGAAGTGAGGCTACAACAGGAAGTGATGACACTACAGGAAGTGAGGCTACAACAGGAAGTGATGACACTACAGGACGTGAGGGTGGATTGTCTTGGATATGAAGACTACAATGTTACCAGGACAGATGGCTGAGGTTGTATCCGGTGTGTACACACCAGACTACTCTTTGCTGTCTCATATTTCCGGTCTCTGTCGCTGAATTGTTGTGTTGTGTACTCAGGTGCTGAAAGCGGAGACGTTGGGTACCTGTTCGGATTTCCAGGCCGTGCCGGGATGTGGGATCAGCTGCAGAGTCAGTAATATTCAGCAACTCCTGAGAAGCGACAACCAGACAACCAGCAAGAACCACAGAAACGTCTTGTTAGTCCAAATCGAGGGGTCCCAGGAGGACTCCGACCTTTACCCCCTCATAGAGCCGCAGTCTGCATGTAAGGGCTCACCCGTGTTATGTGTCCTGGGGGCGGGGGGGGGCACGTAGTATAGATTTAGTGTTTGCGTCATGCCGGCGTTACCGATCTAAACTCCCATAAAGAGACTTCATTGGTGAAAATCAATCTAGATCCTCGGTTCTCACCTGGTGCGCCATGACCCCGTGTCCACCAAGTCCCCGCGTGCCTTCTACTTCAGCCTCCCGCTAGCGCAGCACTGTCAGTTCTCACACCGAGCAGCCATTCAAAATATGCGGCCCGGTGCCGAGTGTCAGCTTCAAGTGGGGGGGAGGGGGGGAGCTATGGCGGCGATAGAGTTCCTAGACAATAAGTCTTCATAATGGTCCCCTGTGAGGACACATGTCCACCATCATGACCTCCACCCTGTCCACCATCATGACGTCCACCATCATGACCTCCATCCTGTCCACCATCATGACGTCCTCCATCATGACCTCCACCATCCTGTCCACCATCATGACCTCCACCCTGTCCACCATCATGACGTCCACCATCATGACCTCCATCCTGTCCACCATCATGACCGCCATCATGACTTCCATCATGACCTCCACCATCCTGTCCACCATCATGACTTCCACCATCCTGTCCACCATCATGACTTCTTAACACGTATCATGTATGTTCAGGTGAAGACTGTGGTGTTCGATAAGACCGGGACCATCACTCACGGATCTCCAGTCGTTATGCAGGTGAAGGTGTTAGTAGAAAGCAACAGGATGCCAACGAACAAGCTGGTGGCCATTGTGGGAACTGCAGAGAGCAACAGCGAGCATCCTCTTGGCTCAGCCGTCACCAAGTACTGTAAAGAGGTAACCATGCCGCCATTTCTCTACACATGTAGCAGTGGGCTGATAGGAGGGGAGAGCAGAGTGACCAGGTGGATCATTTCATCAGTCTGCTCCTTCTCTTTTCACTGTCCAATCACAGGCTGGGGGGTGGAGAGAGGAGTCCACTATATTCCTCCTACAGTCCATACCTGTAGCATAGAGAGTGGCGTCACCCCCTGGCTGAGCTGTGTAAATCTCAGGACTGGATAGGTAACCACACAGGTAGAACGTCTCCCATATATCTGTACTCAGCCACCTCCCCGGAGTTCAGCTTTACACATAAAGATCC